GATCGAACTGAAAATGGTCACTAGAGTTTAAGGAATCAAGATACCATCGTTAGGCAAAATCACTATAAATGTGCTTCATATTTCAATATATGCATATCTCTTTCGTACTCAGTACTTTATTAAATTGATCTTTATTGTTTATATTAATATTACTTACTATTGTGTCCGTTAATATATAATATTGGCTTAATTGTAGATTACTTGAAAAAACATTAAGTGTTCCTTGAATATAAAAATACTGATACATGTGAGTTATAATTTAATGAATATATCTTTCTTAGTCAGTATTTATATTATTATTATACTATAAATAATACATTAATACTATAAATAATACATATATAATGGTATTTTTTATAGTTTTCCTAAATACAAAATATTGGTTTTATCGTAGTATATTAAAAATAATATTAAATGTAGCTTAAAGTAATGACATATATTATGAACTAACCCCTGAAAAATCATACTACCCTTACTTCCAGGGTATATATTTGAGAGCAACCTCGCTTGACATCGAACATTTTTGTGCGCTTTGTGCAAAATTTGAATTTTTATTGCTGATCGAAGCCTGCAGCACATTATATGACAAAGCCACCCACTTTGCCGCCTCCCAAATTATGCGTATTAAGGTCGTTTTTTGGGGGCGGTGGGTGGTGAAGCCGAGTTGCTTGATAGCTTGTTGCTGACATAAATTTGTAACCGCTGCTGCTTCATCTGCCCTCTGCCTGTGTCTGTGTAAATGTGCCAAATGCGCTGGAAGCCCCACCAATATACCTCCGATATTGACTTGACCCTTCTGTTTTCTTGTCGCGCCTTTTATTATGCTAATATTTTTAGGGCATTGCCAAGATTTATTGAAATTGCTGCGGCTGCTTGTCCATAAACGCAGGGCATGCAAATAAATATATATCTATGTAGCATATCCCCGAGATTGGCTGTGGGCGATGGAAAGGTGAAAGGCATTTCCTTGGGCAATTTGAGCCGGCGGCCACATGGCGTATGCGCGATTTTAGATTGGTTTGGGGTGATGGCAACAATTAAATTGTCATTTCGTCGGTGTCGCTGCTAAACGCTTGTTGCTGCTTGTCCCGCCTCGTGTTGCATAATTGGCAACGTTTTTGCAATTAAAACAACTAATTGGCAGCAAAAACTATTGGCCAGCAAGAGCAGCAGATGTTAGCTGGTCGCTTCAGCGAAGGGAAAAGCGGTGGGTTCCATAAAAAAGTATGCGAAAAATTAGTTGCATAAATTTCTGGTAAAAGTTGCAACTTTTGCGGTGGTGGCTAATTGTAGGGGAAGGGGTGGTACAAATTGGTGAACTATGTTTTCATTGAAAAAGGGTCCAGGATTTGTGCTTTCGTTTTGACAACATTTTTGCATTTCCCTAATATTTAAGAGTACTTTTTCAGGTAAATGTAGTAATAATTTAAACGCTAACCCCTTGCAGCATTCTACACTTTTTTTAAAAAGAAAACAAGGTTGTAATAACACCCTTTTTGCACAGGTGCTTATGCTTTTCCTGGTTCTCGTAAGCTCCGGGGCGTGTGTCCACAGATAAAACTGCAGCTTCTGGCTTCCATTTCGCCCCCCTCGAACAGTATTGTTATGATTTTACAACAATATTATTTTTCCATCAACAACATCAGCAAAAATCAATCAAGTTCAATTAAAATGCTGCCAACGGACACAAAAAGCAGCCGACAAAATGACAAAAAAAAAAAAGAAAAACACTTGCAAACCAGAATGCAATTATCCAAAATTAATTTCCTATAAAAATTGTATAGAACAAAAAAGGTTTGTCAGTAACAGAAATTAAAATGCCAATTATAAATTGCAATTAAGAGATGAAAAGTTGGAAAAGAAATTAAAATATTCGATGTCCTGGGCAAATCAATCAAACCTAATTGCCTCCGTATGTGCGACAATGTAAACACGATTATAACATTTAACATATGCATGTTTGTAGGTTGCATGGGAATGAATTAAACTATGGTAATGCGCAAATACGAAAAAAGACAAATGCTGGCTACAATTTTGTATTATACATATTTACAAATATATATTTTTGGCCAAATGTGGTGTTTTGTGTGTGCGTGTGGGGTTTTTTGTGCGTGTGCAAAGCTTACATTTACACAAGTGCAAAAATTCCCAAAACACAAATCCTAAAAAAACATTTGTTACTTTTTGTGGGGTCCAGGGACGAAGGACGAAAGGTCCAATGCACGGGGGGTGACCACACGCACACACACAAACACACTCACCCACACCAACGGCATAATGCAGGCCACCGGCTTTGTATTGGTATTGGTGGGCTTTGTGAAAACACAGCGGTGTGTGAGTGAGCTTCGTGTGTCGACATAAGCGTAGTCCTGGCCAATTGATCCCTTCAAGGGGTCCTTTTTGGGTATTCAAGTTTCAATATTGTTGTTCCCAAAGCGTAATGTAGTGAAGTTTCCTGAAGGGCAGGTTAATCTTCCAGGTTTATTGAAAAAAATAGATAAAACTGAACTCGCATGTTCTGTTAGAATATCAAATCGTTTAGGTAGAACGTGGCGGGATTATAATAATATGGGTCTTGCAAATCACTGAGAAGGAATTATATATTAAAAAATTAAGTTGTTTTAACAACATGGCTCTAAATAAACCTTTACTGGCATATTTATCTATTTTTTATATGCGATTTTTTAAAATGCGAAATGAATTGAATTTAAAAATTGTTTCGGGTTTTTTAGCCTCCCTAAAAAATATATACCAACTCTTTACCTGTTAAATCAAGTTATAGGAACTCAAGATATTTTTCTTTAAATGTTAAAGTTGACTTAAATCTTGTTATTAAAGTATAATTGTGAAATAAATCCTCTTTGTGTCTTGTTTCAACCTTTTGACTGAATCACTCTTATTCATTGATTAAATAGACTTTTTATTTAAATACCCTATTTAGCCTACGCCCACTTGTATTCCTATTTGACCTCCCAAAAATGTCAGCAATATTTGCATTTATTGTCCGTTGGTCCAGAGACCTGGTCAAGTTAGTTCTGCCCAAAAAGACTTCTGCCACATAGCCCACTCCTTCAGCGATTTTGACCATTGAGCGTTTAGATTGTAGTTCTCTTGTTGCGCATGAATGTATAACATTTTGTCTATTCGAGCTCGTAAATTCGAGATTATTTTGTGTTGCATTTAAATTTAGCTGGGCAGAAAAACAGAGGCATATAAGATATGGAGGGACAGATATTCGTAGGCAGAGCGATGTAAGTGCAGTCGGAGCTAACGATTCGCTTCACCATGCTTGTTTTGCCATCGAAATTAAAGTGAATTTTGCGGTTTGGCTGCCAGAGAATGGAAATAGGCCTGACAGAGGCACTTGAGGAGTCGGATCGTATCGTATCGGATCGGAATCGGATCTCTTCCTCCCCACTTAGGCCTGCTCTTGCTCTTGCTCTTGCGCTTTTCAACTTGAATGCAATTAGAAAGTAAAACGACTACAAATTGTCTTTGCCGGGGCATTGATTGATTTCCAAGGAAATGGGGAAAATTGACGCTGCAGATCCCAATCCCAAAACTCCCCGAACTTCGACTAGGAAAAATCAGCAGCCGAGCGGAGCGGAGTCTGTCTAAAAATAACACACTCTGCATCCCGCTTTTCCTTTTCATTTTCATTTCCATTTTCCTTTTCCCCGAGTGCATTAGGAGTTCCAAAACGAAGGCAAAAACACATGTAAGAAGACGAAACATTTCTAATGACTGCGGTGACACTTTTGTGGAAGTGCATATAAGAATCAGAAACACAGATATATATATATATATGTGGATGCGGATACGGAGAAGTCGGGTGTCGGGATTCGGGAGTCGGGGAGTTGAGTTGCATACCTGTGCATTCTGCCGGATAAAATTAGAACGTGAAAGTCGCTGCAGTTGACAGCGTAAAAATGTGTGAACTTAGGAACAGGAAAACGACGGCGGGGTGCCAGATATTCCTATGTATGTTTCCCTGCTGGCAGTACATAAACCAAATCGAAATTAATAATGAAACCGAAAGCCAGCTCCGATTTACACTTGCCAGTTGACTTGGGCTCCCTTTGGCTTAACCCCTTTTGCAAAACTTTTATTAACTTCCGTGGATTGACGTATGAACTTTTCAATTACCAAATATGATTTGAGACCACCCCAAGTCAACCCCCTCCATTTTGATTATTTTTATCCCAATCATAATACAGTTGTACCTCTAAAATTAGAAAAACTGTTTTATTGGGACAAAACTCTATGTAATAAATAATTTTGAAGTATTATTTGATAGATTTTATGGATTAAATAGTATAAAAACATGCTATGCTTAACTAGTCTGTAAATCATATTAACACAAGCATAAGATCACTAGTTTAAGGAATTAATAATTTTTTAAACAAGTATTTATGTCTCAATGACACATATGAAATATCATAATTTAACTTATTTTGCTAAATATGAGATAAATGCTTTAAAAAAAAATAAAGTTACAAATTTTAAGAAAATGGAAGGGAGTGTGTCACTTGATGATAAAAATAAGCCTCCTAAAAACATGTTTTTAAATTTATGATTTTACTTTAGTTACACTCCTCACTGGAAAAGTGACTAATATGTTCACTTACTTACCGATAAGCTTAAGCATAAGTAATATAAGTAGTATCAATTGTTTTTTTTTTATGCAACTTGTCAAAGAAATATTTAATAAACCATTTTAATTTAATATTATAATATTATAATTATAATATTAATTTCTTGGCTCTTTCGATGGATTATAATTTGTACCGCCATATGCAGAGCTTTGAGCTGACCAGCTCCCGATTTGCCCCACTGTGCGGGAGCGCTTGTGTGCGTATCTGTGTGCCAGTCGGTGCGCCAGTGGCTTGGTGTGAGTGCGATCTCCCCTCTCGCTCTGGCTGACAGGCACTCAAGTCGCAAGTCGACTCAAAAATCACCAGAACATCGTCGACGGACTCGAGTTTTTGTTCCGCCGATCAGTTGTGTCTTGTGCGTTGTGCGGTGAAGTTGCGCCTTCGTTCTGAAAATCTGAAAATCCAGCAAAGATACTCGGACTGTGCGGTGCATCCTTTGGAGATCCAGACTGCGATCCATTACCACATTCAGCTCTAGCTTTTGACCCAACAAATCACCACCAGCAAAATGAGAGAAATTGTCCATCTGCAGGCCGGCCAGTGCGGTAACCAAATCGGCGCTAAGGTAGGTCTCATTACTATTTGATTTAACTTTTTCTTGGCTTTTTTTTCTCTCGCTGTTGGCACTTAATTTATTCACATTGACCGAAAACGTTTTTCAATGAGTTTCCAAAATGATCGGTTCGATGTCGCCGCCTTTTTCAGCGCATTCAGCAATTAAAGCGAAAGAAAATTAACAACAAAAAATACGATAAAATAAAAAATGCAAAGTGCAAAAAAGTGGACAGGCAAAGAAATTTATTTTGAGTTTGTCTGGCACTCAATATGCCCTTTCTGTTTCGCTAAAAAAAAAAGGAGGAAAAAAAACGGGTTGGGCCGGCTGCAGATCACGAAAAGTGATTCATGGCAAACCCTCCCAAGGGAAATTGGGAAGGGGAACTGCCAGGGAGAATTATGGCAGAGGCGCAAATCAGCAAGAAAACTTCGAGATTTCGGCAATTTCGAGCGAAGTTTACCTTGGCCGCCCTGCACTTTGCCAAGAAGGGAAATCTCTCGAATTATCTGGCCAGAGAAATCTTTTCGCTTTGCTTGAGCTTCCTGCGCTCTCCAAGAAACCACAAAAATTGCAATACAAATAAGTAGTTATTCGTACGAAAAGTAGGTACTCCGAAAGAAAACACTATAAATGTATATTAGCTAGGAAATTTTACTTGACTTGATAAAGTAATTACGCACTGAAAGTCAGTAGAAATTCTGAGAAAGTTATAAATATTAATTCAAGTCTGGTGCAATAAAATTTCTTAGAAAATATTTAATTTAAACTAAACATATATTAAACAAAAGTACCTTACAATTCCTAAAAATACTTATTACATTTCTTACTTGATATCTAAATTGTATACACCATGCCGGGTGCAGTCGAATTGCAGCTGTTCTAATCATTCCATATAGAACCCACTCGAGTTACATGTAGGGTATACGATGACTGATCCGCAAATACAGCAATTATGCCAGCTACTGGGCTTTAATCAATCAAATTAAACGAGAAACGGAAACTTGAGAAATGCAAACGAATCAGAGCAATTAAGTTCTGATTTCCAGTTGAGCATTCTCAATTACCTCACTTATATAGGATAGTCCACTCAATCAGCACGCCCCGAAAAACAAAGTGCAGTTCTTCGAGAAAAAAAGGAGGCTTGTAGTTAACCGGCTTGGTTTTTTGATTTTTGGCAATACCAGTTTTGGATCGAGACTGGCTCCCCGCTGAGTGCATTTTTCTGTGGCATCAATGTCAATGCCTAAAGACTCGATTCAATTTCAATCATCACCCCCTGCAAAGTGGGTCACATATAGAATAAGTAGTATATCATGCCTAACAGTGCTGATAAAACTTTATCGGTACGCTCTCAAAAGATAAGCCCGTAAATCTTAATCATTTGATATGAGTCAATTTGTGGAAGAATGAGACAGCCGACCGGCTAGTCAGCAGCTTCAATTTAAAAGCAAACTCGCTTGCCTTTTTCTGCTTCCCGGAATTTCGGCAATAGTAATGGTTTTATGGGGCAGCACTCGTACGTAGTATATACCTATGTACAAGCAGACGTTTACGTACTCGAATGAGATACGATGGGAAGTTTGTCTTGGTAATTTGAGCAGCGAACCTCCCGTAATGTGAGACCCCAAAAAGCAGAAAAAACTAACAGCTGAGTGGACAAGCGGTCACTTGAATGAAGATGGGGCCTCTGGAAATCCGAAAACCGCACAAGTGCAGGAGTAAAAAGGAAGTGACTCACCGGACCTGTCCTGTATACAGTTACAGGATATCGGACCTGCATACCCTATACCCATATATATTATTCGTTTCCCTTTTTAGCTCGAGCCACGACGATTAATGCATATTAAATGTACGGCCTCCGAGATTAAGTACATTTCAAAAGGCCAATAAACCCGGTCTCTCTCTTTGGGAACTCTTATCGCCCTCTGCTTTTTTTTTTGACACTCCACAGCAGCTGCGAGAAAAGACAAAAGTCAAAAGTGGGTGGTGTGAGGCTGGCCCCTTCAATTGAAGAATTTTCTTTTGATGCCAAATGTTTTATATCTTGTGAAAATACCACTCGCTGTCTTTTTGCTTTTTGCATAGCCAGCGATCCTCTGCCGCGGCGGAGAAAGAAGACGGGCTCCAAGTTCACGCCCGAGTGACTTCCTCTGCGCAAGACTCGCATAGACGAAGTGCAGCGATGGAGGAGTCTCCACTTCTCTGGGCTTCTTGCCTCCCAGACATGCAACACTTAATGAGGGCGTCTCGATTGCCAGTCGCCAGATGATCGCATGCTAGGGGCGTGGCGCGGCAGGGGCGGAGGTCCCTTGCTGCGAAGGGGGGTTAGACCAGGCCAGTTGCTAGACGGCAGAGCTTTGGAAATTAATTACACGAAAAGAAGAATGGACTTGCAACAGCTTGGCCAACGAAATTGTTAGAACAGATGTTGTCTGAAATTGAAGAAAAGCCTGAGTAAAAAACCCAAGGAAAAACTAATTGGTGGAAATTGCCTATCCCAAATAAATTTTTATTTTTATTTCCATTACAAAACGGTAGCGTGGAACTAACAAAATTAATGACTGGAAAAGTAAAAATATAATTTAAAAAACGATGTTGTATAGAACATAAAAATCATTCATCTAGTCTTTTATTTATTTGAAATATTTTTAAAACTCAGTTTAAGTTATTTGGAGTGGCTAAACACAGATGTTCGTGACTGATACACAATATGATCATAATATTTTGTTCATATTATAAGATACATATCTAATAATGATCAGTATTAACCCGATCTAATTGCCTATCTAGTTTGTTCTCCTTTAAACCAATATCTCAATATAACGACTTCACATTTTGAAAAATGTTTTCTAATGAAATTAAAAAACCGTAAGTCGAATTCGACACGAGTTTCCCTCAACAAATTGAATTCTTGCCATCGATCGTGATTGCCCGAAATAAGTCTGGCCAAAAAACCATCAATCTATAATTGCAATCTAACTGTGTGTCGTATTTAGAAACCTCTCCTCTCCCATCCGCTGCAACTGACATTCACCGAAAAAAAGATATTTTCCGACAAAACCATTATCTTCAAGATGAAAAATCCGAAGTGAAAAATTAGTCGAATGTAAAAGTAAAGCGATCAGCGATGATCGTGCCAGAAGAAGTGAAAAAGTGGAAATGGGAGGAAGGAAGGGGACGTGAAAAACGACTTTTCACTTCAACAGTTTTGTGTGCTAATTCGGTTTTCTTATTTGTTGCTGCCGCCGTGTGGTTTTTGTTTGGTCGGCCTTATAGACCGAGCTTCATTGTTGGAGCTGTTATGGTTAGCTTCATAATTGCAGCGGCCACACTCCAATTAAATTTGATGATCTTGCTAAGATTGCACTGGCCTGAGATTCATTTCTGTTGATGTAGCTTAGTTTCTTCCCTCCATCCAACTCTCGGGCTTTTTAAATAAACAAAGAAATGCAGACGCCATGGGTAGCTCCAGTACTCCACCCTATAGAGTTGGTCCCCCAGCCCCAGCCCCTTTTTGTTTATAGTCGCACACGTCAAGTTCAAGTGCCAAAGGGAAACAACTCAGACATCAGACATTGCCGGAATGCGTCTGCCTCTCTGGGCTGGGGAATCGCTAACATTTTTATTATTTCCCCTGTCTTTCGAAGTTCGAATCTTGGGGACTGTTGCCAACCCGGCTGCGTTTCGCTTCGATGGCGAGTCTATATCCCAACCGATCCCCAAAATAATCGCCTAATGATCAACTAACGGCGCCCAAATTTGGCTCTTGTTAAACGCAGCACAACAATTGCAGAGCATTTCCTCAATAAATCTCCGGGATGGTTTGTGTATCCATGATAAACTTAATTTATCGCATTCCAATTGGGTTCTTCTTCTTGGGGTTTTCGGGAGGGGGTGGCCCCATCTAATGATGGGTCGTTGGCCTGCAGTCTTCCTTTTAAGCTTTCCAATGATTCTTTGGCCCCCGATGAGTCAGCAGGCATATATAGGTATATATAAGAAGTATATCTCTGGTACCCCCATCCCATCCCAACCCATCCCACGGGCTCCGCTCTTCTATTTTTAAATGCATTTCTCCCCAGGAGCGTCGTGGCGTGGAAATTTTGTACATTTTGTCCCCATACAGTGTGAGAGGGCCACCAATTTTTTTTGTACTATTTTTTACTGGCCCGGACGCATCTTTTAAATTTAGCACTAAATCAGGGCATGTTCGCCGGCGTCCAAAACTGACGTTTGAAAAACTAAACATAAATTTATTTTTCCCTTTTTTTCGGGGCAATCTGTCTCACTTTTGACTGCGGCATCGGAAGGCCCCCTATATGGACAGGCCGTAGATATCCCATATATATACTTGTGTATATTTTTCCAAAAACCTCAAACTTTATGGGCTGCGGCTGCGCCTTGTTGTTTGTCACATTGTCACATCGGAGGAGGCAGGAACAGAGATTGTTAGAATTGCTCTCAGTTTTCTTTTTTTGGGCGGTTTCTGTGGCTGCGGCCATATGTCAGGGCTCAACATGAACTCTGACATGGCTGGGTGGGCACAATTATTCAACTTGATGAACGGCTCCGGGAATATTTAGTAAGGCTTTGTGCCAACTAAAGAATCCGCAATCGTCAAGTGCTCTGCTGGGGGCTATAAAGATATCGCTGGGATGACTGATAAGGATGAATGATCTCCGCTGAGAGGCTGATAAGGGAACTTGCCAAGATGCGGGCGGCAGCTCCTTATCTTAAATGTGAGAGAAAAAATAATTGTTTAGCTAATTTTCTCTAGAGAACGGAAAATATCAACGTTTACTTAACATTTGACATATACAATCTTTGCTAATTTAATTTATGAAACTGAGCTGCAGAATGCTCTTACTAATTATTCGTAATTAAACGAGTTTTTGCATCACTTCAATAAAACGTGATCAAAATGGTTATCAGTTAGAAATTGAATTCAAGAAACAGAGTCAAGATAATATAAGATATATATATATACTTAAATATGTATAACTAAAATGTGTATACCTGCTTTATTAATAACTTTATTATACATTTCCCCATTCCTTTCCTGCAGTTCTGGGAGATCATTTCCGAGGAACATGGCATCGACAGCAATGGCATCTATGTGGGCGACAGTGATCTTCAGCTGGAGCGCGTTAGTGTCTACTACAACGAGGCATCGGGTAAAACTTTGCCATATCATATGCAAAATTGCAATGGGTTTTACTAATATATAACTATTTCAGCAGTCACGCGGTCGTCGGGAGGCAAATACGTGCCCAGGGCCATCCTGCTCGACTTGGAGCCTGGAACCATGGAGTCGGTGCGATCGGGTCCCTACGGACAGCTCTTCCGGCCGGACAACTTTGTGTACGGACAGTCGGGTGCGGGCAACAACTGGGCCAAGGGTCACTACACCGAGGGCGCCGAACTGGTGGACAATGTTCTGGATGTGGTCCGCAAGGAGTGCGAGAACTGCGACTGCCTGCAGGTTGGTACTTGTATTTTAAAATATATTTATTTAAGATGGGATTATAATATGAGAAAATAATTACTTAAAATCTCTACCGAACCTTAAAATTTAGTTATGATACACATTCATCTTTATATGCTCAGATAAATAAATCATTATTAAAAGTAAAAGTTTGAGAGTTATTTACCATTGCTATCTTTATTTAATCATATGTTAATATATTTCGTAAAAGGGAACGATATAGGGATAATGGGATTTTAATTATAAACCCATCCTAGCACTAAAGTAATGAATATAAAAAGTACTTAGTAATATTTTATTGTACTTATATATTTTACTGGTATTCATATTATATATCCACCTTTTATAGGGCTTCCAACTGACGCACTCGCTGGGCGGCGGAACTGGCTCCGGAATGGGCACCCTGCTGATCTCGAAGATCCGCGAGGAGTACCCAGATCGCATAATGAACACCTACTCGGTGGTGCCGTCTCCCAAAGTGTCCGATACGGTGGTGGAACCCTACAACGCCACCTTGTCGATCCATCAGCTGGTGGAAAACACAGACGAGACGTACTGCATCGACAACGAGGCGCTGTATGATATCTGTTTCAGGACCCTGAAGGTGTCGAATCCCAGCTATGGAGATCTGAACCATCTGGTCTCGCTGACCATGTCCGGCGTGACCACCTGCCTCCGTTTCCCTGGCCAACTGAATGCCGATCTTCGCAAGCTGGCGGTCAACATGGTACCATTCCCGCGTCTGCACTTCTTCATGCCCGGATTCGCTCCGCTCACCTCTCGGGGATCTCAGCAGTACAGGGCTCTGACGGTTCCCGAGCTGACCCAGCAGATGTTCGATGCCAAGAACATGATGGCCGCCTGTGATCCTCGACATGGTCGCTACCTCACCGTGGCCGCCGTCTTCCGCGGTCGCATGTCCATGAAGGAGGTGGACGAGCAAATGCTGGCCGTCCAGAACAAGAACAGCTCGTACTTCGTCGAATGGATCCCGAACAATGTGAAGACGGCCGTCTGCGATATTCCGCCAAAGGGCCTGAAGATGTCCTCGACGTTCATCGGGAACACCACGGCCATCCAGGAGCTGTTCAAGCGGATCTCCGAGCAGTTCTCGGCCATGTTCCGGCGCAAGGCCTTCTTGCATTGGTACACCGGCGAGGGCATGGACGAGATGGAGTTCACCGAGGCGGAGAGCAACATGAACGACCTGGTGTCCGAGTACCAGCAGTACCAGGAGGCCACCGCCGACGACGAGTTCGATCCGGATGTTAATGTGGAGGAGGTCGAGGGCGATTGTATTTAATGGTGTGGCCAGAGGAATGAGGGGCGTGCGTGACGAAGGTCCGGGGGATGTCCTGTTTCTGCGCGGCATGCGGCACCAGCTGGCGGCCAAGCACTGCAGTATCCTTTGACCCCGTCCCTACACACACACAGCCACATTACACTACCATACCACTACCATAACAAGCAAACACACACACACGGACAGGAGACAGGACACAAGCACAGACAGACAGGAAGGTCAAGCGTAGTTAGAACATCAAACGGAAATGTTCCAAAAGCTCATGCTTCCTCTATTCCCCATCATCCATCCATCCATCATCTCTCATCTCACATCGCGCATCTTCATCTTTTTGTCCATTTCGGGCACTCGTAACCCTCCTATACGCTATAAACTATATACACTTTACACGGAGGCACGTCTATCGCATTTCTCGCAGCCATTTTCACCCACTTTCCACTCTTTCACCTCTTTTCATAACCCTTACTATTATCTCACATCATTTTTATACAACTATTTATTATTATATCGCAACGTCAGCAAGAAGGAACCACAAGTATCTAGTATTTCAAAAGATAACGAATTTATACAGAAATCTCGAGAAGTGTCCAACGTCCAGAAAGTTAGCACTCAAAACTCGGCAATACCATACATTTAGAGCTATATACGATATACGATGTACGAGCTTATCCAAAGATAATCGATTGACCACTCTCATGAGATCCTCTAATAAAGGCAATTTCTAAAAGCATCCGCAATTGTATTTACATAATCTTAGGGCACAATCTATTCATTTTGTATTCGTGTGCAGTACTTTCTCTTGTAGTTTTATTTGAATAAAAAATATTTGTACCCAAATAAATGACTAATAATGGCAAACATTTTTGACAAATAATAAATGGAATTTATTTAAAATTACAAGCGGCTTTTCAATCGTAACAAGGGAGTGCTGGGGATGTATTTTAAAACCTCTGCTATGAAATGTATTAACACTTTTTGTATACAACCTACGTTTATATAGGTTTTATGAACAAAAAAGAGGGTTTCCTTTTGTACAAACCCTTCAGTTCTGCAGTAGGGACGCGGTGACATGGCTCAAGGCAAAAAGCTTTTTTGTTTTTTTTTTTGTGCCTAAAACGCTGTGCCGCTGTTGACGTCAGCAGAGCAGTCGGCGCAGCGTAGAAGACTGCCACACGAAAACGATCGTGCAACAAATAGAGGCAGATATTCGGATATTTCCCTCTCTTTCTTGTCTTATAATCTGCCTGCACTCCGCGCTCGCAGAGACAAATTTCGGCTGGTCCGTTATTTTTTTTTGCGTCTCTCCGTTATGTTCGGCTAGCGACTAATATTTCGGCGGAAAAATTTTCGTGGAGCAGCGACATGTGAATGCCCTAATATTTTAGGAGCATTATTGTGTATCGAAAAAAACAACTAATATTGTTTTATAAAAGTAAACTATTTGATTATAGTAAAATTTAGTATATTGAATTTACTTATAATGTTATATTTACTTATTATACATTTTTATTACAATATAATTTTTTAGTTAAGTTATAGAAATTTAGTCCGTTAAAATTGATTTAAGTATTTAAAACATTTAAGTATTAACATTTAAAAAAAAATCGTATTGTATTTTTTACTTAAGAAGTAAAAACTATATAGTCGGATATATAATTCACTTTAAAAAAGGGTATAGGTGCAGTGGCACGCGCCAACAGCGAAGAGAAAACAAAAGAAATCTAGTAAAGGGGTGAGAAGACTTGGTGCATTCTGTTTGAGTGATTGAAAGGGAAGCATCCATTTTAATGGTGCGCAGCAGAGTTACTTTAATCGTTTAGTTAATATAATAAAGTCAGGTAAGTGCTACATTAAGTTTAAGATGTTGTGCATTGATCTTAGTTTAAAGTACGTAAATTTTGAAGGTATTCAATGGGTTCCGTTAGCCGAAAGTGGATGACGAAATGTTTTGTGCCAATAAAAATTCTGCAACAAGCTATAAAAGGTAAATATACAATTAAACAAATAAAACGCATTTTTTAAACATATGTTTTTTCAGGAGCGTTGGCCAAGGATTCAGAGGATCCGGACAAAGGTTTAAGAACGGCGATGTCTAACGTTAAAAATAAGCTTACGAAGCAAAAAAACAGAAACAATAATTGTACAATTTTTGAAAATCTAAATAGTACCATATAATTAAAATGAATTAAAATGAAATGATTTAAATTCTATATTTTTTTAATTGAAAACTCAAGGAAAAATTCTGATTTTCACAAGTGATTCACTTGGGACGTGTCCCTTGCAAGTGATTTCACAAGTGAAAACTCAAGGAAAAATTCTGATTTTCCCAAGTGTTTCACTTGGGACGTGTCCCTTGCAAGTGATTTCACAAGTGAAAACTCAAAGAAAAATTCTGATTTTCCCAAGTGATTCACTTGGGACGAGTCACCGGCACGTGACAGGCCATACGAAAACTGAGTATAAGGAACAAGTGAAATCCCGTAGGACTTCGAAAAATTTTCATTTGAATTTTCACTTGTGAAAATGTGGACATCCCATACAATTTTCTATATGGAGCGTCACTTGTTCTTCACTTGTGCAAGAGGACATGTCCCACGGGATTCACAAGGTGATTCACAAGTGAAACTTTTTTTTTGGAACTGAAGGGAATGTAATAGTAGTAATAGTAGTTCGAGTTCTTGAAGTCATGCTGAAGATTATAAATGGTATAACGATGCCGATTTAAACTTTGCCTTAATCGACAAAATGGCCATTGATTTACCAACAACAAAAATGTTAAAACACAAAACAAAATCTATAAAAACACTTAGCAAGAACACTTGATAGGTGGAGGACTACGTTATAGAAGCTCAACTGTAGTTATCGTTAGGCACGGGGTTGCCAGATGATAAGAAATATAATATACATGTATGTATGTAAAATTTGTATATGCTTCATAATACAAGTAAGATACATTTGTGTGTCAAGTAAAATATATGTAGATTAATAAAGCGCCACCTGGCAAACAAATTTAAACATTTTCGCATACTTATCTGGCAACGTTGAGCATAACTGCCACCAGCCAGTTTAAAAAAAATTTCTTCGGGACGGCACGGAAATAGTAAAGTGTTGAATTTGGGAAAAAATAATATTTATTTACATATGTAAGAATTCAAGTATTTAAATCTATTTTGTTGGCATCATTGCCTTTCCAAGTTTATCCGTACTTCGTTTAACATAAAAAGGCAAATCTATAAAACTGGGTTGATTCTTAATTTCACAGAATTAATAATACTAATAAAAATAGATTTAATTACTTCCTTTTTAATAGTGACACAATAAGTTCTTTTAAAAATAATATTTAGGTGTATACCAAAAGAATTTTCCAAATCTATAAAAAACCAAACCAAAATTACATTGAATATTGGATTAGTATGATTTGTGTTTGGTAGGAAAAACGTAGGCTCACGACTTAAAGAAGACCAGACAATAACACAACACACACAACTATCATTGAAAAAAATTCAAGAAGAAGTCAATTACCTTTTTGATATCAAAGTCTAATTTTCTTGTAAGATCCAACCAATTAACCGTAATTTTTTCCATATAAAAATGGATTACTTGCTACACGGCTGCTATATTATAATCTCGACCGGATCTCAGAGTCGCACAAACCTTTCCATTAACCGACTCTCTCAGACCTCATATGCGACAAATTCACCAGAATTAAAAGACATTAAACGACGTTAGCGGTCTCGTGACACAAACAAAGCTTTACATAAAAAACACGCCAATAACAAAGTCGGCTAAGAACAAAACCCCCAGACATACGGAAAAAAATAATGAAAAGAAGAGGTAAATGCAAGAGAGAACCAGTTTTATTTTTGTTTTTGTATCGAAAGAGCCGGCCGGCTTTTCTGAATGACGGCGAGAACTGAGAACGAAGAACCAAAAGTCGAGAACCTTTTTCGAGCCGGCGAAAACATTATAACACGTTCTTCCGTCTGGCACTTTAGTGACCGGTTAAAGTGCGTTTAACCGTTAGTTATGGCACTCCGGCAGGTCGAAGTAAAGGTTATCCAGAGCGGAAGTTCCCCGACTGAAGCTGAGAACCCGGCTCTGAAAAGTGGGTCAACTATCTGACAATCCTCATTTTGTCTTGCCTGCAAATACAGGAGTCAGTGAACCAGTTTGTGCATTAGACCTTTGGTAAAATTGTTAAATTTATTAAACTTTTATGTTTAAGAATATACAATTTAACAAGACAAACCATTTACGTTGGCTCAAGACAAGTTTTCTACACTGAAATTTCTATGCCCCCAAGAGCAACATATCTAAATGTTTATTATATTTAAACAGAAAAAATATATGAAAGTACTTCTCCTATTCTTAAAAGTGCGCAGTAAGAATTTTTAATTTTTAATTTTATGACATATCATGTTACCTATAAGATCTAACCATATAAAAATATAAAGAAAATTTATAAACGTTTTCAATATTTTGTTACATTTTTTAAGCATATAGCTTTTTAAAAGTACATTAAAATGGAATATGAATTTTAGTGTTCAAGCCTCTTAGGTCAACAATAAAATTTATCACTTATCAAAATGAAGCACCTTAGAATTCTTCCCAAAAGAACTCTTAAATGATATATATTTTGATATTTAGATTAATTTTTTTCGATTAAATCTAACTTTTGTTTTACGCCTGATATCAATTATCAAAATAACATTAATTACTCCCTTCTTTTTGGGATTCCCCTTTGATATACAGTAAAACATCGATAGATAAGACCCCTCCGATCCATCGTCCCACACATTTTTTCGCCGTGCAGCAACATCGCTTAGAAATAGGCAAATGAAAAAGCAATAAAATAGTTGCCAACTTACACTCATTTGGCGCCGTCATCCAAAAGCCAGTCGCAGTCGTCCGGCAGAAGGAGGCAAGAAAAATCCAACATCCAAAATCCAAAACATGAAGTGAGGCAGCGGTGATTGACCCAGTTTCCCGAGACGACAACAACCTACCTACCTACTCCTCACTCACTGGATCTGCTGGCTATATCTGCAGCTTTTGGATCTCGGAGTTGTGGAGCTACGACTATCTGAGGCTGGAGATGGAGACTTTGCTTT